TACGATTGAGAATCAAAAATTTGGTATTCTTTCTAAATTTATATATTTTCGTCCTCTTGTTCTTGATATTGAGACTGATGATCGACGTGTAAGGATTGTGTAGTGATGAATTTTTATCAATCAGCTTGAGTTTTAATCTTTTGTTTCTATTGGTTTTTTGGGTTTACTGTGTAGAATGCTGTTCTTGAGCTTGCTAGAGTGTTAAAGGCAACAGAGCAGGTGGTTGCTGGTAAGATCTACCGTCTTACGCTTGAAGTTATCGAAGCTGGTGAGAAGAAGATTTATGAAGCTAAAGTTTGGGTAAAGCCATGGATGAACTTTAAACAGCTTCAGGAGTTCAAGAATGTTATCCCTTCCTTCACTATTTCCGACCTTGGCTTGAAACCAGGTAATCACACACCTCTGGTCTGGTAATACGATCATCGTGGTTGTCGTCATTTCTTTGATCAACTAGTTAGTAGAGAAAAACGTAATATCTTGAAGTATAGTCTTTGTGGTGCATAGAATTGTTTCTCTTTTCGATTTTGAATCGTAGCATCGTTTCTTGATCTTTTTGCTTTGCTTGAGGCAGATGGCAATGGATATGACTGGAGATCATTATCAACAGATAACCCTGAAGTCCAAGAAGCAGCAAAGCACGCCATGAAATCGATTCAACAGAAATCAAACTCGCTGTTCCCATATAAACTCATAGATGTAATCCTAGCCAGGGCAAAGGTTCGGTTGTTTCTTATCTCCACCTTCATTTTCTTAATCAACAAACCATCGGAGCCACTAATTAGGTAAAGGAATGATATTTTTACGCGCAGGTGGTTGAAGACTGTGTGAAATTCGAACTGCTTCTGAAGCTAGAGAGGGGCAACAAACTAGAGAACTTAATGGTTGAAGTGATGAAGTATCAAGACGGCAAGTATCACTAGAGTTGTGTGGATTAGCTTTTGGGTTTTTGTGTCATATATGAATACAACAAAGCTTTTATAGAATATACACTAAAAACTTTCATGTTGTGAGATGAATATATAAACAATGGTGCTTTGTTTGCCCTGTATAAAAAAAGGTTTCTTATAATGACATAACTTCCCATGTAAAAATTACACTAAACATTTGATTATGTGTTTGAACTTTGATACCGATAAATCAGAACCGACCACACCAAATCATAAGATTATTAGGGCATGTGCAATGGTGTTTCTTAAGTATGTTATTAAAATATAAAATTATTAAAATTTGAGTAAAAAGAAGAAAGAGAGTGTTTTTGTTTGAGTAAAGAGAGGAGATAGTGAGTGTGTTTAAATATAAAATTAATAAAAGTTGAGTAAAAGGAAGAAGAGTGTTTTTAAATAAGAATTTTTGGAGAGTGTTCT